TTTTCTACTCGACCGGTTTTGAAAATAATTTCTCTCTCCGTACCAGGAAGCTAGCACACTACCTCTGGCTGGTACACGCTGTCGATATTTAACCACCTGTGTTCCGGTTCACCACTTTCCGGTCCTGAAAAGCTCTAGTTAGAACTGGCCCCTCAGAGTAACCATGCTGTGAAGAGCCTCCGAGGCACAACTGCTGTATCATCAAGGCCCAGAACTTGACTTTTGCTTGTTTGAACTCGATTCTCTTTCTCTCCATCATTAAGCTGCTCAGGCAAGGTCGATCCCTCTGGTCTGAAGTCGGCTGGAACTGGATTGCTACAATCCAAAGCATACGCTGGTCACCGGTGAATGTTTAAATGAGTAACTAGGCTAAAGATCATGTGGAAGTTGCTTTTCATAGTCACAGAGTTTAAGGCCAGAAGGGACCATTCGATCACCTAGTCTGACCTCCTGTATTGCAGAATCCCTTAAATTTCACCCAGTTACCCTTATACTGAGCCTGAAAACTTGTATTTTTCAGTCTTGATATGAAATAAGATTCTTCTCTCTCCAAAGTCTACAATCTGCATTGGTACTGGGGGTGGTGAGGGGGTGAGGGAGAGAGGAGTGAAGCTTTTTCTTTATTGCTATGTAATTTCAAGTCATATTAAGCTATTCAGTCATGCATCATACCTTTATCTATCACCCTTCTCCACATAAGGCACCTAGCAAACAGTTAAATTATAATGACACAAAACAACGAAAACATCCTGAAATAGCATAAAGCAAAACTCAGATAAAATGCTCATCAGCCAAATAAAACAGCCATCAACATGTGTGCTCAGCCTTCTCTGCTCCCCTCCACCCCGGCCCTCCCTCCCACCATCTGTCTAGTCTAGTTAGATTACAAACTCCTTGGGGCAGAGACTTTCTACTCTCCTGTGTGCATATAGTGAGCTCCATTCTTGATTGGTCCTTAGGCACTACCATAATAAACATGGTTAATCAGCATCCCAAGCAACAGAGCATCAGTGGTTATAGGAGGCCTCGGATACTGAATGGTTTAATATTGTTTTCAAGGCACGTTGGTTACTATTACTGGTTTGTGCGTAAATTTTCAATGCCACAGTTGCTAAATTCCTAAAGAAATTGTTAGAAAAAGAAACAGACTGCTACAGTTAGACGAATTACGCTCTGTGCAGCGAGATCGTGAAAATGTTGGAGGCAGTGGAGCTCTGACAATTTGCACTGGCTGAGGAGCTGCCCCATGGCACCCATCTGTTTCCAGGGCTCCGTTCACCTAGCACAGTTGTTCGTGTGAAGGATCTCTGCGTGTTGCCAGTATTTACCCCTGCAGGAGAAGAATGACCTTTACATGTGTGGGGTCTGACTGTTGTTAAGCGGATTGCTACACATCCAGAGGTGTTCTCTGCTACTAGTGTTGGTGGCAGTTAGTGTTTTTAGAGTTAATAGCTAGGGCCTAGAGCCAGGAGTTACTGCTGACTTGTTATGTAACCATGGTGAGTATTTAGGGCTGGATCATGACCTGCCCTTACACCAGAACACAGGAGAGTAAGGGGTGCAAAGTCCTGCACAGGCTACCTGCATGACAGGTCACAGCATGCGGGGGAGGGGGGACTACTCTCCATCCTACTCATGGGATATAGAGAATGCATAGGCAGGGAATGGGCAGAGGTCTGCCACTGTCCCCCTCCAATACATCAGCTGGCAGAGCAGTGCTGAGCTGGCCTGGAGGGGGAATTCATCTGCTGCTGTCACAGAGCAGAAGCAAGCTATCTCCCCACAAGAGCAAGGGGGAACCAGGAGCAAAATGTCTCTTTCAGAGTTGCTATTCCCTCCCTGGTCTGCTTGTGGGGCAGTGTAATGCTCCAAGCCAGCTCTTAATCACCATGTGTTGCAAGGTCCCTTTTATAAAATGACAATGATCATTCTTATCTTTATAAAGCTCTTTGAGAGCCTCGGAAGTGCCAAAACAGGGCAAAGTAGTTATTCATTATGAACCACTAGGGTGCGCATGGCAACAGAGGTGGAAATCATTTGCAACTGCCTATGTGGAAAGAGCTAGAGGCAGCATAAGGACTGGTGTAAGCAGTGCTTCATTAAACAATGGTGAAGGTCAAGCAGGCCAATCTTGGAGGATTATAGACATGCTGTGAAGAGCTGACGTGGACTAGGAACCTCACATAGTACTTGATTCTCACTATCGCTGTTATAGTGAATGATAAACAGTATATATTGATTGTCTAATTATTAATTAGATACTAATCACTAATAATTAATCAGTGTTAATAATTAAGTGTATTAACTATTAATAGTGGGTACATATGTAAAATAATCATATATACTATGACAAAGTTCTTCCTCTATCTTGGTGGGTCCTGCGCTTATTGGCGGATTTTCTTGCCTCAGAGATTCACCATGTGGGTTGGGGAACAGCCCAGCGACCTTCCCCTCTGGAAGAGCCCACAGTCCAGGTCAATTGGGAGGTTTGGGGGGAACCTGGGCCCACCCTCTACTCCGGGTTCCAGCCCAGGGCCCTGTGGACTGCAGCTGTCTATAGTGCCTCCTGTAACAGCTGCATGACAGCTGCAGCTCCCTGGGCTACATCCCCATGGCCACCTCCAAACACCTTCCTTATTCTCACCTCAGGACCTTCCTCCTGGTGTCTGATAATGCTTGTGCTCCTCAGTCCTCCAGCAGCACACCCTCACCCTCTCAGCTCCTTGCGCCTCTTGCTCCCAGCTCCTCACACTCACACCACAAACTGAAGTGAGCTCCTTTTAAAACCCAGGTGCCCTGATTAGCCTGCCTTAATTGATTCTAGCAGCTTCTTAATTGGCTCCAGGTGTTCTAATTAGCCTGCCTGCCTTAACTGGTTCTAGCAGGTTCCTAATTACTCTAGTGCAGCCCCTGCTCTGGTCACTCAGGGAACAGAAAACTACTCATCCAGTGACCAGTATATTTGCCCTCTACCAGACTCTTGTACCCCACTGGTCTGGGTCTGTCACAATACATAGCACAAACTAATTAGTGTAGCACCAAACTGTGGCACCCTCAATTACAAATTTTTACATTGACTTCAATGAGGCTAATTGTAGTGCTGTACAATGTACTATTCAATGAGAGTAAAGGTATCTGACCGATAAGAAGCATGTTGATAGCAAATTCTGCCCTGGGATGCACATGAGCCGTGAGAGCTGATGCTGCATATCGGATGCTAAATGCAGGGCACTCCTGGAGCATAAATGCTCTGTGCTGCTGTCGGCCCGGCAGCCTGAATCTTCCTCTCTCAGCAGTTCACTCGGCCTACAATGTTTTTATTACCACAGCTTGTTGCAGCAGCAATTTTTCTAGTATGCTCAAAATGGCAGCTTTAGATGAGAAGGCAGACACAGCTTTGTATAGTGGAAGCAAAATAGACAAAGTTGGCTCTAAGGGCAGTATTGCATAAAGATGTTCAGCCCTCTCCTCCATCTCTGGTTAGTGGCCTCCCTTTCAGGCCTGCTGTCTGGGACAGTTAAGAGCTATTGCAGTTCTCTTTTCTCTTCTGGGCCAGTGGTTCTCAAACTTATTTGATTGCACAATATGCCACCCTTGCTTCTCCACTGCTGCTGGCGGAGCTGGGCAGCCAGCAGCCGCCACTTTCTGGCCGCCCAGCTGTCACATAACTTAGGGTACAAGCTGGACTGTAGGACAGCTATGTCTCCTCAACTCTCCAACCTGGGGTGCCGTTTACACTGCTTCACTCTGAGAGCAACCCCTCCTGGCCTGCTCATGCATTGACTCCAGCATGTAAATCACTCCCAGCTATACTGTATGAGTGCTATAGCCAGCCACTCTTGAATTACACTGCAGAGCGACACCAGCAAATTCCCAGTCCCAGACTTCCCCCTCAGAAATGTGTGTCTTGTACTGCCCAGCACCCACCTGGACAATACAAGCTCATAAAAAGTCCGTCATTTCATTAATAGAAAATGATATGCATAAATCCCGTTATCTCAAATGTAGTTTCCCAAACACTGCAATCCAAACAGACTGGTTTAAATAAAATAATAAAACATGTTTTATTAATTACAGAGAGATAGATTTTAAGTGATTACAAGTAATGAGGCATAAAAGTCAGAATTGGTTACAAAGAAAATAAAAGGTAAAATGCAACTAACAGTTAACAAGCTAAGTGGATTCAAAACGAAATATCTCTTTCACCACATGCTTTTGCAGTCTTGCTTGTAGCCAGGATCCCTCCCTCAGTTCAGTGTTGCTTCAGGTGTTGTTGATGCCGTGAGCAAAGAGAAAGGGAGGAGTAACTTGGGGTGTTCGTTATCTATTCTTATACCTTTCTTTCCTCTTTGAGAGTGATCTCGAGCTGGGGTTCAGGCAACAGCAAGTTTGTTGGGATGGGAACCTCCAGCTGTTCCTTTGCCAAGATGTATATTTCTCACTCACACCCTTCTTCCTTCCAAAGAATGGCCACTTAACCAGGTGCTGGTCCACTTGATCTCATTGAAACCTGGCTAGGGTGTTCGATAGCCTTTCCATCTGTGAGGATCTGGTGTGTGGGTGTTCCTCAGAATTGTAACATGTCTCAGTAGTACCATGCAACAGAAGCTTATATCTTTACATACAATATTGCCACACATATTTCAACATGGCAATAATGTTCCGCAGATTATGAGTTTTTTCAAATGATACCTCACAAGGCATACTTTGTAGAAAACATATCATAGTCTTGTAAAAAGTGTGAATATGGGAGTACAGACTATCAAACCAGTTCTGAAGGCAGTGCTGCTACCAGCATCAGTGGAGAAATAAGGGTGGCATGGTATGGTATTCCCACCCTTACTTCTCTGCTGCTGCTGGCAGTGGCGCTGCCTTCAGAGCTGGGCACCCAGCCAGCAGCCACCCACTCTCGACTCTGCCTTCAGAACTGGATGGTAAGAGAGCAGCGACAGAAGTAAGGGTGGCGTATTGCTGTGGGTAAAATGTCCACAATACTTTTTTCCCCACCTCCCTGAACACATTCCTTCCCCGAGTTTGAGAACAGTGACACAGAATGAGAGGCTGGGGAGGAATACTTCCTGCAGTGTTAACTAGAAGAGCGAATTGAAGAGCTGGAGTGATGTGAACTCATCTATACAATATAGGGATACACAGTAAATGAAAGCTTGGATGCAAATTCCATCTATCTACTGTTAGCTATTGAAGGTGGCAGCAGATGTTTCTGGAAAAGTTATTTCTCCTAGGCTGACAATAAAATCATGGATTTGTGCTATAACCTCCATACCCCCACTGTGTGATCTTCATGCGGGTCACATACAAGCAGACACACATACCATTTGACCATAGATTTGCAAGAATTTTATTAATTTACAGAAAAACAGAGACACCACAGTTATTAGAATCCATTCATTTCTAAAATGTAAAGCCCCTTGGACATGGCTCTCCACTACCTGGAGAATAAGAGATTGGTACATAGGATTGGCATCAAGCGCGGTCTCCTACCTCCAGCCATGGCTTACACATGATGCTTCAGAGGAATGCAAAGGAAAAAATAAAGCAACTGATTCAGATCCATCTCATACCAGTGTAAATAAGGAGTAACTTCACAGAAGTCAGTGAGCTAGATCCTCCACGGGTGTAAATCTGCATCAAGTTACACTCTAGACTGATCATCACTTATACTGGGAGAGGACCTGTCCCAATGAATTTGCATTGTTGCAAAGTGGGAGGAGAATTAGACCCAATACATCTAGCTAATTCCCTCCTGAATCTTGCAGTTATCAGATGATGCCCTGGAGCATACAGGTTGTTTACTTATAGCTTATATAGTTATTAATTACCATAAAATTATCCAGACTCTTTTTAAAGTCCAGCCCCAGTGTCTGACACCAACCTCCTTCACCTGTATCAAACCCTCTATGAAGTAGTTTCACCCACATCCTTGTCCTTTGTAACTATAAAAGTTCATCCAGGTGGAGGGGGGAAGGGGGGGTGCCTACACACGGTAATAAATAATTATTAATGAACATTTCAGAAAATAAACCTGAAAACAGTGCGGAAAAGTCCAGCTATAAATGGAATGATTCTCAGTCAGCTCTGCCCTAATGATGAATGGATTCTGATGTGCCCATGTTAGTTCAGAGATTTTATTTCCAATTAACAACTAGAAGAAGTACAAGCAGTTGCTGAGGATTGGGCTGGTGCATCCATTTAGTTAATTGCCTTTGGGCTTGGGCTTGGGCTTGGGCTTGGGTTTGGACACGGGCTTGTTGTTGGGTCTTCTGCGGACAGGTCCTTTATCCAGGAATTTTATGGCATCCTGCACCCATTTGAGATCAGGCTGCACGCAGATCTTGATGCCTCGTTTGGTGATGAACCTGCAGGGGAAGAAAAGGAAAGCCAGGCTGCCATTAAAATTCTTGTCTCCAAACCAAGGTCTTGTGTGCATATTTCTATTCTATGGCCTATGTGGTGTGGTACAACGGTTTTGTCTGCAGGCATTTGGGATAGTTGCATCACTAAAGAGTCACAAAGCCAGCAATGAGCTGGTTCTGCTGTATGGTATGGACATCAACTCTACATACATGGCATGTGTGTGTGTGTTTATATATATCGTGTATTCATAAACGTACAGAGGCATATACTGTATAGCCAGAAATTTCAAAAGAGCTAAGCACCTGGCATATTGAGTTGGCCCTTTATTTATCCCACAAGAACCAAAATTAAATAGATGCTCATGAGATTGAAGGACCGGTCACATCCTCTAGAAGGAGGGATAATCACACTTCGCTGTTCTGTACATTTCCTTCACACAGCTCAGCGCAATGCACCTCATTGCCAATTGACAGCACCGTTTGCTATTCCCCAGCATGCCACTCGAAACAGCTCTTGTTCTTTGTGAGATTTCCTCCTAATTTCTTGATCAAAAAGGTTTGTCTGTTCAATCAAAATTGTGGATGCTCCTCTGAACAGCACAAATCCTCCAGACCTTTTGAGGTTCATCCACTAACAGTTACTACCTGCTAGAAATGAAAGAATGCTCTTCAGTAGTATGTTTTGGTCAGATTGACGACCCTCATGCTTGCTGTGATTCAGTTCTACCCCTGCCCTTTCTCTCCTGATAGCAGCAGCATGTGTCTCTAGATTAGTTTGAAGAGTGGTCGAGATACTTACATCACAGCTTTTACTGGTATGTGCTGTGTCTCATATTTAACAAGTCGTCTGATGTCCAGCTCCTGCGTGGACAGGTCTACACAGGCGCTTTTGGGCGCGATTTGACTTGCAACACTTCCTACAGGGGAAAAAAATAGATGGTAAGCTAATGCTAAATGAACAGTCATTCTTTACACTAAGTGGAAATTATTGCGTGTTAAATTACAATTGAAATATCTATAGATGTATGTACTGGGATCCATTTCCTAAGTATGCTTCTTTCATAGGAGCTATACAACCAAACTCCTGATCATCTGAGATCATTAAAAAGCCAAGGCAATTGTAAGAGTAAATGTCTTGGCCAAATTCCAGTGTGGATAGTAATTACATTCTGCCTTCCTAAATTGCCTCTGCACTTTCAGTTGGGTCCATTGCTCTTCACTTTCTGTCCTAAACTGTCATGTAGCAGTGCTTCGCTATCAAAGAGCTGCTGGGTTCCCAGAGACAGCTTCATTTCAGTTGAAGCGTTCTGTGTACATAAAGTATCTAAAGCATTGGGGATCTTTTGGGATGTAAGGTTCTGGATGAATATGCGATACGTTAATTAAAAGTGGGAATGTGAGCAAGTGTGTGCCTGTCAAACAGCGTCACTCGGAAATAGAAGGGTATCACATGCTTCAACCAGGTGTGTCCATGTAATAATACTAAGAGTTGGTGCTTGTGTAGCACCTTTCCTGGGAGAATCTCAACATACATTACAAAGAAAGATCAATATTATCCCTGTTTTAGAGGTGAAGAAACTGGGGCACTCTGATTTAGGGTATCCAACTTGAGACATCCTGGGCCTGATTTTCAGAGGTGTGGAGTACCCAGAAAGTCATGGAAGCACCCAAAAACCCAGGCAACCAGCAAAAGTGGCCACTTTTGAAAAAGTAGGCGTAAGAAGCAGAGTGGGATTAGAATTTGGGGACTCTGAATTACAATCCTCAAATGTGGCCAGTAGATTTACTGCCTGCCCATGTGGGATTATTTCCACCCTCTCACACCTGGCTCTAAAGAATATTCCCTATACAAGCAGAGCTTCTCTTAGCAGTTTGGAAGAGGTCTGAGTAGATATCCGCTTTTATGGTGCAAAGATGTGTGCCTATAACTCCCCTCTCTGCCCATTTCTTATCACTGCCCTTTCTGATCCCTCTTATGCTGCTCACATCCCTCTCCGCTTTCCTCTCCGCCTCCCACATACTTATGTGACTCCATTCTTTTCTTCTGCCTCCTGCTGCCTTCTGTTTTCCTCTTCACTTCATTTCTCTCCCCACTTTGCTGCTGCTGCCTTCCCCTCCATTCCCTGGGGCTCTTACTCTCCTTCCCAGCAAAATCTTTGTCTCCCTCTGTTCCCTTTAACCAAAATTTTTTTTAAAATCAAACCCACTTGGAGGACAATTAACTACCGTGAAAAAAAAATCAAATACTTCAGTTTGCCTCTTTCCTCCCCCTTCCTATTCATCTGCCTTTGGAAAGTTCCATATCTTCTGCCCAATTGGTCACATCCACAGAATCACTTCTAACGGGGCTACCACCTGAGACTTTTGATCTCTGCCCTATCTCCCCATATATTGCCTGATATGCATGGTCCTTCTACAGAAAGTTTCAACTACATTTTATGGCAAATTATCCTGCCAGGGACACAGGGTTGGAACAGCAACAACAAACACACACTACAGGGATGAGCCCTCTGGATGTCTAGTGCTGATTATTTTGTGTTTGTGTGGGAGGGTCTGTGTTTTGGGTTTGTGGAATTTTGTGAAGATACTTTTTTTATATTCATCATTGTGTATTCTTGTGGTTCTGCCTGAACTGGGTATGACTGTGGTTGTGCATGTGGTTTTTTTGTTCTTGTTGCATGCATCTGTTTATGTGTATTTGTATATGTGCTTGTGTATGTGCGGATGAGCTTTTGCAACAAGTGTGGTCTATTACAAGTGTCATGGTGTATTAATTGTCATGATTAATAGGAAAAAGATCTAAGTGTCACTGTGGACAGTTAATTTAAAAGACCAATGTGAAGCTGTGCTCATAAAAACAAAACAAGTATGTAAACCTTATTAAGAAAGAAATAGCAAATAAGACTAAAAATATCATGATTTCATTGTATCAGTGAATGGTGTGATGTAGTCTTGAATGCTGTCTTCACTTCTAGCCACCCCACCTCAAAAAGGATTTAGCACAAATACACAAGGATTTCACAGAAAGTCAATGAAAATTACTAGAGTCTTGGGAAGATTTCCATACAGGGAGAGACTAAAAAGACCAGGACTATATAGATCAGAGAGGAGACAAATAAGGAGTGACATGATAAATATAAGAGTTGCCATCCTGGGTCAGACCATGGTCCATCTTGCCCAGTATCCAGTCTCTGACAGAGGCCATACCAGAGCTTCAGGAAGAGAGTACAGAATAGCACAATTATAGAGTGATCCACCCCATCTTCCACTCCCAGCTTTTGGTAGTCAGAAGTTTTGGGTTGCCCCAAGCATGGGATTGCGTCCCTGACAATGTTGGCTAATAGCCATTGATGGACCTATCCGTAGAGCCCTGTGCGGATACAAAATTTGTATCTGTATCCGATCCGCAAAAATGATCCACAGATATCCGCACCCGCAGATACGAATATCCACAGATTTGCAGGGCTCTACCCATCCTCCATGAACTTATCCAGTTCTTTTTTGAACCCAGCTATAATAAGACAAAGGTATATACAATAATGAACAGACTGTAGAAAATGAATTGGGAGCTCTCCGTTTTCATAACATTAGAAGAAGGGCACGACCAACAAAATTAAAAGGCAACATCCTTGAAACTGCCTGAAAGACATGCTTTTTATAAAATGCATAATCAACCTGTGAAACTCATTACCACAATGTATCAGTAAGATCAAAAAAGGTTTAGACATTTATTATGGATAATAAGAGCATCCATCGATGCTTTAGTTAAGCTCAAAGGTTTCCCAGGGATATAAATCCTCTTGGGCATAAACCAACCACCAGTTGATAGGGGTTAGGAAGAAACTTCTCCTATGGGCAAGTTATTCCATAACTGTTCACTATCAGTTTTCTCACTCCTTCCTCCTACATATCGGGTACTGGTCACTGCCTGAGACAGGGCACTGGATTGGATGGACCACGGGGTTGATATAGTATGGCTATTACCAAGTTCCTGAAGAGTTAAACACTTACCTCTCACGGTGCTCACAGCAAAGAGGCCGAGCCAGAAAATGACCAGGATGTCTGTTGCGTGGAGTTTCATTGTTGATGGCTTCCTTGGAATACCAGAGGAGAAAATGATAATTGGAGCCCCTTTCACTGAGCTTTTATATATCTTGCAATGGTCAGCTCACTTCCTACACCCAATGAAAGGGGCGTCATGGTGGGTGTGAGCAGAGACGGAAATTTTGAGACGCAATCAGTACTTTTTTTTAAAGGTGCAGAAAAACTCCTCTTCCCTTGCTAGACCCCTGTTAAGGCTTTTTCCTGCCACAAACTGAGCTGTGGTTGCCTCTTGCTGACACTTTGCAAGCATGTCTTATTTTAGGATGAAAAAAAGTCACCTTTCTGCAGTGGAAACCAGTAATGTTCCTGTCCTTTGATATCTAGGCTGTGAGCATACCAAGCTAAAACCCACCACAGAGGCAAAGAGTGACGGCGCAGAGCTAGGTCACTCCTGGACCACTTAAAGGGAAACATGAGTTACAAGAGGGGAGGCTTTGCTAATGGAAACAGGAATCAATTGGATTGTCCTTAGCAGCTGTACGTCAGAGGTGGCTGTGACATTACCCTGGGTACAATCTGGACTGATGGACAGCTGCGTCCCCTCAATTTTCCAACCTGCGATGCCTTTTACACTGCTTCACTGTGAAAGCAACCATTCCTAGTCTGCACACCAGTGACGTATTAACTCACAGGCCCATAGGCCTCGTGCCCAGTGCCCCTGGCCAATTTGGGGGCCCCCACAGGAGTACCAGAACCTGTGTAGAAGTGAGGGGGCCATCAGCACTGGAACTGTGGTCCTGCCCTACTACTCCTCTTCCCCTGGGGCCCTGTCCCCAGCCAGGCCAGGAGCCAGAGCCAGGCTGTAGTAAGAGCCACCCAGGGAGCCCAAGCCACTGTGGGGAGCCCCGGACTCTACACCTAGGCAGGGGGCCAGGATGCCCAAAAGCATCCTGGCCCATATCCCCTGGCCCATATCCCCGCCCCCTGGGGTGCACCACCCAGGGCAGCTGTAGGGGCCGAGGCTCCCCACTGAGGCCCAGGCTCCCTAGGTGGCTCTTACCACAGCCCGGCTCCAGCTTCTGGCCTGGCCGGGGCCATGGCCTCGGGGGAAGATGAGAAGCAGGGGCTCCCCTGCCACTTCTGTGCTGCGCTTGCCTGAGGCTATTATGCCCATGTTAAAAAGTGGGTGGGCATGGCCCCCCTTACCCCTCTCCAATTCTGGCACCCCCTGGGCCCCTGGGGTGTGTGAGGCCCAAATGTTCTTTGTGCCCAGGGCCCCAGTAAATTTTAATGTACCTCTGTTGCTCACGCACAGCCTCCAGCATGTAAATCACTCCCAGCGTTTTTGTATGAGTGCTATAACCATTAGCCAGCCAGCCATGAATTACACTACAGGGCAACTCCAGCCAATGCCCAGTCCCAGACTTTCCCCCAGAAGTGTGTGTCTTGTGCTGTCCAGCACCTTCCTGGACAATGCAAGCTCATATAAAGTCCGTCATTTCATTAATAGAAAATGATATGCACAAATCCTGTTATCCCAAATGAAGTTTCCCAAACATTTCAATCCAAACACATTGGTTTAGATAAAACAATAAAACAAGTTTATTAACTACCGAAAGATAGATTTTAAGTGATTACAAGTAATGACGCATAAGAGTCAGAATTGGTTACAAAGAAAATAAAAGGTAAAATGCAAAGAATATCTAATTTAACAAGCTAAATGAATTCAAAGCAAAGGTTTCTGACACCACATGCTATAGCAGTCTTACTGGCTGGAATCCTTTCAGCTCAGGACCCCTCCCCCAATTCAGTGTTAATTTCCTTGTCCCTCAGGTGTTGTTGATGCCATGGGCAGAGGGAAAGGGAGGAGTGTTTGGGGGCATCTGTTCCCCTTTCTTATAGTGCTCTTCTTCTTGGAAAATCATTTCCAGCTGAGGTTCAGGAGACAGAAGATCTGTGGGGATAGGAACCTCCAGCTGTTTCTTTGCCAAAAATGTAGATTTCTCACTCATACCCTTTTTCCTGCCAAAGAATGGCCACTTAACCAGATGATAGTTGATTTTGTTGACACCTGGCTGAGGTGTCAGTTTGCCTTTTGTCTTTGAGGAACTGGTTTGTGCCTGCTTTTTTAAATTTGGAACATGTCTCAGTAATGTTATAGAGTAGAATATTATAACTTTACATACAATGTTGCCACAAAGATTTTACCAGGACAATAATGATCAGCAAATTATGAGTTTTCAAATGGTACCTCACAAGGCACACTTTATACAAAATCTATTATAGTTTTGTAAAAAGGGTGAACGTAGGGATACAGACTGTCACAGTGTCTCTTAAAGCTATGGCAGGTTTAGTAATAGGGAGATATTCTCTGCCCATTCTGTGTAGTGGATCTTGTTAAAGCTATTTTGCTCTCCCCTTACATGCACAGGCCCCACGCTGACATCCCTAGGCATAGGCGCCGACTTCCCCTCTTTTCCCTGGGTGTTTGACCCCCTTCTGCTCTGGCCCCGCCCCCAATCCACCCCCTCCATGAGGCCCTGCCCCTGCCCCGCCTCTTCCCATCCCTTCCCCACCCCCATTCCAACCCCTTCTCCATAGTTCCTGCCCCAACTCCACCCCCTCCCTGCCCCATTCCAACTCCTTCCCCAAATCCCTGCCCCCCACTCTTCCCCGCCTCCTCCCCTGTGCGCTCATGTTCCCGCTCCTCCCCCCACCCCCGGAGCTTGCTAATGACACCAAACAGCTGTTTGGTGGTGGCCAGGCGGGAAAAGCTCCGAGGTAGGTGGAGGAGCGGGGATGCGGTGCGCTCAGGTGGGGAGGGGAGTTTGGCTGCCGGTAGGTCCAGAGCACCCACTAATTTTTCCCTGGGGGTGCTCTAGCCCCGGAGCACCACAGAGTCGGCGCCTATGTCCCTAGGTGTTTGGGGCATGTTGACAGAAAGAGCAAACGCACAAAGGCCTAAACCTCAACTTGCAAGATACAAGTAACTCCACTAGCCTCCACATGAGTTACCCATATCCTGTGCTGGAGAATCTGGCAAACAGGCTCTAGTCTAAACTTGCAGGGAGTGGGTCCTGTTTTGGCAGAAGCAGTTTCTAATTTGGTTTCCTCATGGTTGTGTCAGACATTATCAGGTTTCTCACTCCTTCACACAACGCACAGTCAACCTGTGGAACTCATTGCCAGGGGATGTTGTGAAGGCCAAAACTGTAACAGGGTTTTAAAAAGACTTAGATAAGTTAATGGAGCAAAGGTCCATCCATGGCTATTATCCAAGATGGTCAGGGATGCATCCCCATGCTTCGGGTGTCCTGAACTCTGACTGCCAGAATCTGGAAGTAGACAATAGGGGGTGGACCATTCGATAATTGCCCTGTTCTGTTCATTCCCTCTAAAGCACCTGGCATTGTCCACTGTCGGAAGACAAGATACCTGGCTATTGGGCTGACCCAGTATGTCCGTTCTTATGTTGAATATGGCCCGAGGAATAGCAATAGCTGCACTCAGCCACATTCCCTCCTTTACCAGAGATGGCAGAAGCAGAAGTGAACAGCGTTAGGCCAAAGTGGTTTTAAAGAGTTTTAGGAATAATTTCTGTCATGGTTCCTGTAGGTATAAACAAGGGAGCTCAAAAGACCTTCCATGTGGGGTCAGAGAGGAGAATCTCTAATCTCTCATAGGCCTAGTCCACAGTAGGAGTAGAATCAAAGTTCATTGCAACTATATTTAAACACAGTGTTGATAACAGGGATCTAACTATGGTTTCCAAGAGCACTGGGGACAAAGACATTTTTATATTAGATCCTTGTTAAAGCAGAGTATTACTGCCACGTGCGGGGCAGTCTCCATGGTCTTCTCTCCACTACAGTTGCATCTATTTTACAGTCCCTCATTTGCAACATTGCTCCACACTAACCGTTTGGTTTTTGTAGACATTCTACAGCCATGCGTTGGAACCTAGGCTGCTCCGATGGAAGGAAATGGTCATCTGTCCAGTTCACATTCATTAGCACCTTCATTTGTAGCCTCAGCAAAGAGGTCCAAGATTGTGCTAGCTATGGAGATTGAGCTATGCCCTGAGGGCCCCAGATGCACTAGACACTTTTTCTCAAAATCCCCTCCCCCTATTTCTAAAACTCCCCCATTGGTAGCCATGGTGATAACACTGGCATAGACAGGCTGCTAGCAGCAACTGAAGCATCTCCCTTCCTGGTGGTAGGAGACTGAGGCACACAGAGATTAAATAACTCACATAAAAAGTTTGTGACAGACCTCGGTTCTGTACCCAGCTCTCCTGAGTCCCAGCCCTGTGCTGCGACCACAAGACCATCCCTCCCCGCCAGATGAGACACGTGGGAGGGGCGATGGGCAGGGTCACCCCCCCACACCCACATTTGCTGCTTGGCTTGTACTGACCATGCTCACATGGACTGAGCATGCTCAGTAACACTGCTGAAGCAGGCTGCCCTCACTCTGCTCCTCCCCCCCCCCATCGGCAGGGATGGGTCACCTCTGCTCCCCGCTATAGTCTCTTACGACTAGAGGGCACATTTTTTATCTTCTGTGAATATGCGTGTTTATACTGAGTGCTGTAGGCCCAGTTCTCCTCTACCTTGTACCCAGGATAGCCATTTTCACCTGTGCAAAGGTGTGCTCTAGTAGAGTCACCAGCTGCCTCTGAAAGTGCACCAGCAGGGCATTGGGGAGCCAGCTCAGATAGATTAAGAGAACCTCCCTCCCTCAAAACCTTGACCCATTTTTAGAATCTCCCCTGAAATGAGGTTTGGAAGTCTTCCTTCTCCGCCATTGCTCATTCAGAGCCAAAGTCTCACCGCTTTTAAGGCGTAAAGCAAAATGCATCTCTTTCTGCAGACTCTTCCCTTTCAGAGGGCATTAGTATCTTCTTGGTCATCAGTCTGGGTAGCTGGTGTTCCTCAGCTGGGATCTGTTTTCAGCGGGGAGTTTCATAGGCTGATACGGGCTGCAACATAAAGCACAGATTCCCAAACAATAGTCTGTGATCTGAGGGGATCTGGTAGGACACTTGGGGTTCAATTCTGATTTACACTAAGGCCACTTTACACTGCCAGAAAGACGTAAAGGGGGCT